TGTAAATCTCATGGTCTCAGAGACAAAAGAAACCAGACTTTTAGATGTGTCTTGATTCTTATATATCTTTATTTTATTAAAAAAAAAAAAAAACCTCTTTTTTTTGTAATTTTAGATGGACCGCATGCCTTTATTTTATTTGCTTGTTTTTGTTTGCGGTGCTAAGGATTGAACCCAGTGCCTCCCCCTTGCTAGGCAAGCATTCTGCCACTGAGCCCCAGCCCCAGGCCCCTTATATCTTTATTTTTCATTTTTATTTTTTTAGGTATTGAGTATGTAACACAGGGAAATTTATCACTGAGCTACTTCCCTAGGCCATTTAAAAAAAATTTTATTTTAAATTTTGAAACATGATCTGATTAACTTGCTTATTAGGGCATCTCTAAATTGCTGAGGATGACCTTGAACTTGAAGTCCTCCTGTCTCAACCTCCTGAGCTGCTGGGATTACAGGCATGCACCACCACACTTAGCCTTATATTTTTAAATTTGTATTAGTTCTCCTTTCTTCTTCCCCAAACCCTTTGCATAAGTATACATTAGACTCCCTATTCTAAAAGACTTTGAGGCAGCTTACCACAATATGTAGAATGTGACAGGTGGCATAAATTAAACATAGGGTGAAATCACTAGGAAAACACAGATGGGGACAGTGTTAAGAGAGGAAAGAAGCTAAAAAATCATAACCCTGCATTACAGGAAAGTCCTTAAGGCCGCAGGGCCAAACAGTGTGCCAGGTGACCTTTCTCTAAGAAGAAGGCAGTGCAGCTGCCAAGGTCTCTCTTTGTGCCTTGAGACACAGGAACTTGGGACACTTGAGGTTAGTGATCAACAAGCAAAGAAACTGAGAATTAATATAGAAGACAAAATTAACTTTTAACATTTGTGTTACGTGCTAGGTTTTCTGCAAGGAGTTTTATGGATCTCACTTTGCTTATTTCACAGTATTTTTGTGCACTTGCTAGTATTAATCTTGTTTTACAGAAAGGAAAACTGAGGCTCAAAGACAGAGGCAGGATAACCTGCCTGTTTATCAGCAAGCCAGTGGCAGAGCCAAGCTTCAGAGCCCACTGTGACTTAGAGTATAGCTGTTTTTAAGAATCTGATCAGAGGATCAGATTCTTGTTAATCAGACTTCCTGCTTGTCCACAGTGCTATTTCTTTATATAGGAATAATTTTGGGGGGTAGAAAACAAAAGTCACATAGCCATAGATGGAAATCTTTCATAAATACCCTATTCAAACAGTTCCCCCCACCATTTTGGCGGATATTTTCCCTTCAAACCATATTTCTAGCATAGGATTCTTTATATGTGTTGTGTTCTCCATCCACCTTAACATCTTAGAGGCCACACCATGTTGTGGTCTGTAAAATTTGCCAAGCGGCTGCAGCAGCAGCGTGTGGATGGCCTTTACCTGTCTTCCCCTGGCACACGGCCCAGCAGTCTCTGTGGCTGCCACTTCATTTTGAGCAAATGGGTAGGGCACTGTCCTGGTCACCCCATTTTAGGTCACCTTTTCCACTCTTATGAAATATCACTTGCCATGCATTTTGGCTGAAGGTGTGTGAGCAGAGATGAAATCCTGTGCTGCAGCTTGGTTTGGCACTTGATGACAGACAGCTCTGTCTTCTTTCACTGGACTTGCAGGGTAGCCAGTACGTGAGATTCTGAACTGTGGTCTTGGCAGATCTGTTGCCTAGATTTCAGAGTTCTGTGATTTCTTCCCACTTTTACCTCCTGTTGTCCATCCCTGTGAATTTTTTACCATTGTCTGTTTGGGTGAAATTCAAATCACTTAAATACTGCAGTCTTCCTATGTCAAACTATGGCTTCCCTTCCCTCTCTTTAGGGTGGCCTCAGCTACACAGTGCCCTTGGGCCATCCTCCCACCTCGCCCTTTTTTCCCTGTCCCCCCGCATCATGGAAGCAATCTGAGTTTCTTCCTCTCATCTTCCCTTAACCCCAGTGTTTTTCCGTCTTATCCAAAGTTCAGTGTCTGTCACTGTGCCATTCTAAGTCTGGTTCCTGGACTCACAGCATCAATATCACTTGGAAGCTTGTTAGGAATGCAGATCTCAGGTCCCTCTTTCCATCTACTGAATTAGAACCTGTATGTTACTAAACTCTCCATGTGACTGGTACACATGTTCCATTTTGGGAAACTCTGCTCCAAATTATGCTTTTCTATAGATTGTGACTTAGTTAAAAGAGCTTGAACCCATTCCTTCTGTAGGAATAACTGGTTAAAAAGTTTTCGTCCTATCAGTTTGTTTGTCTTTGGACAATACTTCAGTTATTTTCAAGGATAGGAACAAATGAGTATATTAGGGAATAAATATCTTTTCCTAACCAGATAAATGAAGTTAGTGCATTAGGAAAAGCTTGGATAATTTAGTGGATAGACTGTTACCAAGAGAGGATTCAAATAGCAACATTAGCACTGTTTTGAAAAGAAGTAGAGGAGGACTACTGTTCCCCCCCACCCCCGCCCCGCCTTTTGGTATAGGAGATTGTACCTAGGGCCTCATGCACACTGAGGGGTGTGTGTGTGTATGGTGGTAGGGGGGGGCATCATTTTGTGAAAGGAATATTCAATTTAAGAAATGTTTATATTTTTCAAATTTTTACTTTGTTATATCTCTCTAGAAGTCAATTAAACAAAAGGTTAATATGTAAACTAAGGGTTATATAGTCCTATAGAGGACCTATTTCTTCCTTTAAGTGTATTTATCTCCTGAATTTGGGGTGTATCATAAAACATAGTGACCAGGTTTTCTCCAGAGGCAAGTTTCATCCTTAGGTATCAGAGGCTCTCCTGCATGGGAAGGCTGTGAAGTCAAATGGATGGGATAGATTGTGAGCCTAGAGCCTGATGCAAATGTATTGGCAGGTTCCCCACCCCTGTTCCCATCTGCCTTTAAGCTGCTGCTGTGGTTGTATTTGAAACAGTACTTTCTCTGAGACATCTCCTTCTCCTCCTTTTAGAATTTGTAAGTTGTATGCATCAGTTATCTGAAAGAGTTGAATACACACACACATACACACACACACAAACACACACACTCACACACTCTCAGTTTGCTCACTGCAGTGTCAGAGAACCTGACACTCTGGTTGGATAGGAGGTGATACTACAGCCATATAATGCAAAGGGCTAAAAAGTGTGTTTTTATAGACTCTGACCCAGTCCTGCTTTGATGCAAAAGAATCTCATTTCACATAAACATTGATTGTTTATTGTATATTTTGATTAATGATTTTAAAGTTGGCAGTTAGGAAGATAGACGTTCACTTACATTGAATATAAAATGTTGAGAATTTAGAGCACACCTGCATGGAAGCTTCATTGTCCCATTTTTGTGAACAATGGGCCACTTCTTTAAACTGGACCCTGCCTAATGCTGCAGGCTTTCCACATGGCCCATCCCCCCACAGAGCGGATGCTGGTGACTTAGAATAGTGATGTCCCAGGTGGTGTTCCATTTCTCCTTCAGAAGCATCTCATGATAGCAGAACATGACACTGGAAACAGATGGAAACTGGACCTCTGGTTTCAGATTTTGTTCAGAGGCAGGAGTGGTTGAATTAAAATGTGTAAGATATAGAAAACCTGTAATCAGTTAAATGGGGGAAAGGAATGATAGAGGGGAAATGTTAAATATATCATGAAAAGAAAATAGAAAAGTTAGTGTATTTCTTAGGAATTTGCCTTCAGTAAGAAGCACTTTACATAAACACCCCCCACACATAAAGTATATATATACATATATGTAAAGTATATTTTATATATATATATATATATATATATATATATATATATATATATATGTAGATGCATTTCATGTTGTGGGATTTTTGGTTAACTTATCTGACAAACAGGATCTTCTTAGTAATTTGAGGATTAGGTAGTATTAAATATGCAAATATAACAGCCCATATTAGAACATGTTGGTCAGTAATCTTTGAGAAGTTCATTATGATTGAAAATATTCATAGGATGCATAAATGTACTTTTCTGTCATCATGATTGTGCATAATAGGATCCTTCGATGACTTAGGGTCTTGTGGTTGTGGGCAGCACCTTGGGTGTGAGTTGCCCTGGTAGGTAGGTACCTTTAATGGAGAGTTAACTATTGGACTGCAGCTTTATGGGAGTCCTCTGGCAATGCCTGGAAACAGAATACCAAAAGCAATGTGAACTTGAGCGCTACAGAAAAATGTGTTTGTCTTATTTCAAAGCTTTGTCATTTTATGTCTTTACATAAAAAATTTATTTTTTTCTATAGCGATGTTTCCAAAATGTGAACCATAAAGCGTTCTTTTTCTGCTGTGCTAATGCGGGTTAAACTATGACAGGACTTTTGGAGGCTGTGACTCTTAGTGTGAAATATAGTATCTGATGTTTCCCAAGCTTATTTTACTTTGCCTGACCTGCCCCATCCTCTTTTTTTTTTTTTTTTTTTTTCTGGAGGGAATATCTATCATGGAAGACAGTTTGGGAAATGATACTCTAGCATTTTCACATGCTTTTCTCATTGACCGTCACAGCAGTCCTGAGAAACAGACAGTTTTGCTGTCCCCATTTGGATGAGGAAGATTATGAGACCCAGCAAAGTTCATGCTGGCACCAGAATTCCGATCTCCTAATGACTCACTTGTGCCAAGGCCTTTGATTCAGGGAGGAGGAACTTTGTCCCACAAACAGGTCTCTCTGCTAGCAGACTGGAGGGTCATTTGGGCTGTATGCTGATCTGAATTTCCTTTGTCCTGTGGCTGACCCACAAGGCTCTATGGCATCTTGTAGTGGACTGTCTGAGTTTTCCAGTTGACAAGGATGAAAGTAAGCCCTTATGTAACTGCTCTGAATTCATGGCTCAGGCAGCCCCTCCTGGATGCTTTTGAATAGCCAAGTTGCCCAGGTGTTCAACCATGCTTCACTTGCATTTTGCTTCCCGCTTTGTGCCCCATAGTACTATGTCATGTTTTGTTCTTTTTGCAGAAAGAAATTCAAGCCATGAGTCAGTGCAGCCATCCCAACGTAGTGACCTATTACACCTCTTTTGTGGTAAAAGATGAACTTTGGCTGGTCATGAAATTGCTAAGTGGAGGTAAGTGGGCTTTGTTGTTGTTTGCTTGTTTTCGTCCTCCCCCTTTTGTGGCAGTCAGCATAAACTGAGGGGACTTCAGTTTGATCCTTCACTCCCATAGTTGGAAATTCTGTTTGGTTTACTGTTGCCAACAGAATACTCTAGATTTCATGTTTCTTTTTCTTTTCCAGGAATGAGCCTGGGGGTGCTCTATCTCTGAGCTACATCCCAGTCCTTTTTAAAAATTTTTATTTTGTGACAGGGTTTCTCTAAGTTGCCAAGGTTGGCCTTGAACTTGTGATACTTTTGCGTCACACTCCCGAGTGGCTAGGATTACAGACATGGGCCACTGTGCCTTACCAGATTATTTAGTATTGTTAATTCAAAGCCTTTCATAATCGAGCTGAACTTCCTGAAGTATCTGTGTCCCCTTTTTCCTGTGTTACATACCCCGACCTTCTAGGTTAGGTGAGGCCTGGGTCCCTGAATACCTTCTTGAGCTCTGATGTCTCCAGGTCCTTCCCTGAACCTCTCCTCAGCCTTAAAGATCTCTACTTCCTTTTCCATGTACTCAAGCCCTTAGAGGTTCCTCTCTGCAGCTACAACTTACTCTCTTCAAAGATATTTTTCTTTTTCCTTTTTTGGAGCTGGGGAACAAACCCAGGGCCTTACTCATGCCATGGGAATTCTATACCACTAAGCTACATCCCTACCTAGTCCTTTCTTTTTAAGCCCCTTCTTTTGTAACATTATTCAGGTCATTGCAATATACTGAGTCATTTGAGTGCTGTTTATTAACACTATAGTGTCCTATAGCTATGCTGTCCATGTCCTACCAGTAAGGTGTGACTCTTGAGCCCTTGAAATGTGGCAGCATGACTAAGGGACTTGAGTTTCTGTTCCCTTTCTCTTAACTCATTTAACTCACCACATGTGGCTAGTGGCTATGGTGCATATAGAGGGGGCTTCCTGAAGAAAGAACTGTCTAACTCACTTGGCTTCCAGGGAGTTCTTAATGTACATTGTTTCAGTTGATGTGGAGAGAGAAATACATACTCAGTTATTTGCTTATAGTGTTCATCAGAAGTGGTACTATTCTCATCCTGTTGAATTTGAGAAGGGAAAACAACTTCCCCTCTCTGCCTCGGATCTTGTAAGTTATGCAAGTCATTGACAGTAGTTTAATCTTCAAGACTTTTTCATATCTATGTATTTGATTTTTTAAAAAAATCTTTTAACATCACTCTTAGGAATGGGAATGGTAACCATTAATTTCATCAAACACTTGCTGTGTGGCTAGATTCTGTTCAAGGCAATTTACTTACTTTATCTCATTTGAACTCTCTCTCTCTTTTTTTTTTTTTAATTTCATTTGATCTTGACAGCATCCCTGAATGACTGGTGACTGTCTCTGGGTTTCAGAAATGACACCAAAGCTCATGGGAGTTAAGCAACTTGCCCAAAGTTATACACACAGTGGCTATTAGTGCTGGAATTGTGACTGCAGGACCCGTTGACTTATAAAATATGCTAAGGCTGGGCATGGTGCTGCACACCTGTAATCCCAGTGACACAGAAGACTGAGGCAGGAGGATTGTAAATTCAAGGCCAGCTTTGGCAACTTAGTGAGACCCTGTCTCACAATAAAACATAAAAAGGAAGGGATGTAGCTCAGTGGTAGAATGCTGCTGGGTTTAATTCCCAGCACTGTGCCAACAATAAAAAAAACCTCAACTATTCTGCATTGCAAATATTCTCATCTTCATTTTGTAGATCTGCATGTTGAAGCTTAGAAAGTTCAAGTGGTTTCCTTAGTGCACCGAGATCTCTCCGATGTTGTCTTCAGAGGTGCAGCTCCCTTTGTTCTGAGATGTGAAGTGTAGTTTAGAACAGAGGAGAACATTTTTGTGCTGCCTGGACAAAGCCACAACCGATGCAGCTGCATTTATATGATAGTGCCCATTTTCATCTGTAGATCCAATTCCAACTGAGGTGAAACCAGGGACACATTTTAATTAATTTAATCTTTTTTTTTCTTTTTAAAGAAACTCTTGGATCAAGCCGAGACCCAGAAATGAGATGACGAAAGCTTTGTAATTGGCTGGAGTCTGCTTGTATAAGTCTCAGTAGGGAACCTGGAGATCCAAGTTCTGTTCTCTTCCTGGTCCTTCTTAGTCCTATGATTAGCCTTTGTTGTCTTGAGTACCTACTTTGGTTTTTAATTAAAAAGGAAAGAAATGCTACCTTCTACCCCCCCCTCCCCCCCTCCCACCCCAGCCACTGCTATGGTGTTGTGTCGAACTGCCTGCTCCTTCTTGTATGGAGGGGTGGTGCTTTGCCAACTAGGTGACCAGTTCTCTTCTTGTGGGGTTCCATCCCCTCAAGAAGAATTAGAAATCTTGGTGAGCTGGCCCAGAAATAGTCCCAAGTCCTCTGTTCAAGTTGGAACTTTTACCTTTTATAAACTTGTCTTCCCTTCTGAGGATGTGATAGAAAATTCATTGTCATTTGTAAATGTATAGAGACCAATCCAGGCTCCCAGGACTTTAGGTACGAGGAATAGGCTTTTGGCAGGTTTCCACAGGCAAGGGGAACGTGGGCAGGTATTGACTCCTGCTCCCTCTTCTTTCAGTAGGCCTAGGGGGTGGGTATATGTGCTTGGCCTTATCCTTATAAGAATAAATATAGTTTTTGGAATTATTGTTATCTATATGACCCCTATATCTAAGAGTCAATGCATAAGCAGATTCTTTTTTTCCTCTGGGGAGGAAAATATGCATTTTTTTCTTCTATACTAATTTATAACATGAAATCTCTTAATGAGAGGCAGGCCATTAGTCTGTTCAGTGGTATCTGATGGGGAAACTCAATCCTCTTATTTAATCAGAGAGAACCCAGAGCCAAAATTCAGGTACTGAGGTAAGCCATTTGTTAACTTTTCAGAAATGTCGAGCCCCAGGGTAATTATGGCTTTTAGAATGACCCAGAGGTTTCGAATATTAATTAGCACGTGTTGAAACGTGAATTCACAGTGCCAAGGATACCAATCAGTATATTGTAGCATAGTAATTGGTATTTATTTCTTCATTATAAAAGTCAGTACATGAAGCATCAGGAAGATTAAAATAAAGATTACTCAGACTCACAGATAGGGATCTTTGGGTTATAAGGAGAGGTCTAGCAGCAACCTACTTTCCTTACCTCTCACCTGTCTTTCAGGTGTTAAGAACTTTTCTTTTTTACTTAGAAGTTCACTATTTCCTTTCTCTTTGCCTCCAACTCCAGTTCAGCTATCTGGAACCCTCTTTGGAGTTTTTACCTAATTATACATATAGAAAGTGACCCTGAATGATCTTCTAGTCTCAGGCCCCCCGACCCCACCCTTTTATGATATGAGACATTTACTATATAGCTCAGGCTGATCTTCATCTCCTGGACTTAAGCAATTCATTCTCTTTAGCCTTCCAAGTACATAGGACTATAGGTGTATGCCTCTGTGCTTGGCCTTTTTTCTTTTTTTAAGTTGGGATGCCGAAGATTGAACCCATGGCATGTGCTGAGCTATACCTCCTGTTCTCAGATCCTAACCCTCAATGAGAATAATTTTCATACTGAAAGTACTTTTGCAAACTTGGTGCAGAGTTAGTGCTTCTGATCATTGGGCTTCCATTTAATTGTTAGTAAGCCTTGGTAATATTTGCATCAAATCAACAAGAAAATTTTATTTTGATGTTCCCATTAATGTTCTAATAATGGAGTGCTAATCTGATAATGGAATGAAGGTTCTTAGCAATTTCTTTTCATCTTCTTCTGTTTGTCCTCTCAGGCTCAATGTTGGACATCATCAAATACATTGTCAACCGAGGAGAGCACAAGAATGGAGTTCTGGAAGAGGCAATAATAGCAACAATTCTTAAAGAGGTTTTGGAAGGCTTAGACTATCTACACAGAAATGGTCAGATTCATAGGTATGGTACCACCAGAAATTCAACTCTTCATTTGCTTAGTCCTAATTTGTAAAGAATTATGAGGAAACATACATTTCAAATAGGTATTGGCATTATTTCCAACTTAGGCTAGGGGCTGGGGTGTCCTTAGTGGTAGAGTGTGCTTGCCTAGCATGGGTGAGGCCCTGAGTTCTAGCCTCAGCACCACCAAGAGAAGGAAAGGGAAAAAAATGCTAAAACCAATTTAGGCTGAATAGATGGAAATAAAGTACTAGGGGCTAAAAGTTTAGCTCAGTGGTAGAGCATGTGTTTATTAGCATGCACCAAGCCTTAGATTTGATCCCCAGCACTAAAAGAATCTCAAACTAAAATAAAACTTATGAGACAAGAACACAGTTTGATGAATTATATTGGTATCCTCTGGATTGGTTTATCTGCTTTCACTGAATTAAGAGCTGAATGTAAAAAGTGCTGAATGAACTCATAAAAAAGTGGTTAACATAATTACCCTTGAAGTGTACTCATTTAAATTGAATAGCTGCTCCAACTTTGAAATATAGGCAAGACTTACAAACATTATAATATGTAATTATTTTTGACATGATAGTGAGAAGGAAGGAAGAGACACTAATTTCATCTTCTTTTGTGACATAGTCTTTCATGACTTAGGGCATGTTGTTGCAAGGCTTAGTTTCCCCATCTGAGATAAGGCGATGGTGCTGTTCATCTTTCAGGCAGTTTCTGAAGTTTAAAATTTAGGAACCTGTGAGTACACTGTGTTCCAAAAGTTGCAGAGTGGAGAGGAGAAGCCACTTTGCAATAATTCTTGAAAATAGCCAAATAGCATAGAATATGAGTGCCTGATTGCTTCAAAAAGGGTAGTGATCATAGGGATTTTTGCAAGTACAAGCATTTACCAGTAATGCTAATAATGTAATTTCTCTACCTTGAATCAGCAAGCTATATATTGAATGGTCTTTATTATATTTTTTAATAATTAGGAAAATATTACTTTAGAAATCAGACTTATAAATTATCATTTTCTTTAAGTGCTGAAATTACTCTACATAGCTTCTATATAGTAAATAAGTAGTATATAGAATATTATAATTAATATTTATCATTATTATCTTTCCAGAGGAGAGATCAATCAAATTTATTTTAAGATGGTGATGGGATTATTTGAAATAACGGCACAGATGAATTTAAATGGAATTGTAATAACTTTACACAGAGAAAGCTTTAATTCTTTTTTGTACTGGGGATTGAACCCAGGGGCACTCAACCACCCAGCCTTTTTAATTTTTTTTTTTTTTTAATTTTGAGAAAGGACCTTGCTAAGTTACTGAGGCTGGTGTTGAACTCGTGATCCTCCTGCCTCAACCTCCTCAGTTGCTGTAACTATAAGTATGTGCCACCATGCCTGGCACAGGCTTTCATTCTTGTTAATTAAATACCACTATTCAGTTTAGGGACATTCTGTAACTCCAAAACACAAAATAGTCTACTTCGTAGTGATTTAATTAAATATAGAGAATGATTTCACAAGAAGTGAATTCTGACTGTGCTCAAGGAGCAAACTATAAAATGACAGTGTACCCTGGTAACTTTAAAAATCTATGATATAATTTTAATATTCATAAAATAATAATTGTATGTTGTGTTTAAAAGTCTTTCCCAGATGATCAATGTAACATAATGTCTGCATTCTAAAATTCATTCTGTTTTTTTTTTCTAATAGGGATTTGAAAGCTGGTAATATTCTTCTGGGTGAGGATGGTTCGGTACAAATAGCAGGTAAAGCTGATAAAGATGAAAACTCCTTACTTGTTTACAGAAATATTACAATTTCAAGGACTGTAGATTCATTCCTATGAAATGAATAAATGCATGTAATCTCTTTTAAGAATGCATCTGGATGTTCTGTCCCACAGGCCATGCATTTAGAGTATGTTTGGGTCTGAAGCATGTTTTCTAGTGATTTGTTTAGATCTTCAAAATAAGTATTTTTTTTTTTAATATGCAGAACCTTTTGACAAAGAATGATTGTACTTTCAGTTTTATGTTTTCCACTATTCAATCTGAATACATTTACATAACCATTTATATGAACCATTTTATCTATCAAAGAAGTTTTGAGCAAGTTTTTTGATGAGTTTGAAAGTTTAAAACATGGTGTACCTTAATTTGAAAGCCTCTGATGGAAGAGGTGGGTAGAAAGAGTTATGAACTCTCAAAACCCAGGACTTAACTTTGTTCTTGAATCTGACTCCACATGGCTGTTCTTGACAGCTGATGGACAGAGCTGCAGCCAATGGCTGCTGAGTGAACTCATCAGGTGAGGACATTCCTTGTTATTCATCAGAGAACCTGAAAGGCCTGGGATAAAATGTAGCCACTTGTGTATCAACTCTTGTTTCACCCGACATCCTTGAGGGTCCAACTCGGCCCTCCCCTTAGCTATCGCCATCTCTCAGTGGAGGTGCTTTGGGAGTATTTGGCTGAATGGCCCTTTGCTGTTCTGGACTGTCCCCGCCATGGTATTCATGGAGTATTCAGCTCTCTGGTTTCCAGGCATGAAATATTATTTAGCAGCCTTTGCTAGCAGTGTCCTTGGAAAAAAATCACTGATTTGGCTTATGTTGTTAAGAATGTTGAAATTTGCCGCAAATGATGGATCAGCCTAATTGCCTTTTTTTGAGTTGGTGTGGAAGAATCTTCTCTTCTAACATAGGTTTAGGGTCTTCATATGTTTAGCTATTAGACCAATGTTGATCTTAGTCCTTGGTCCTGGTCTTGTTTCTAGACAAATCTAATGATCCACAGTTGTGAGAGATGGAAGAGTTCAGTAGAATGCCAACCTCAATATAAAGGCTAAACTTTGAATGTTCTTGTCTCATTGTTTGCCTCCCTGTGGGTGTTAAGAACCTTGCAGATGAGCCCCTGGCCAGTATGGCACGTTAGATGCTGACCTTGGCCTCTGTATAGACTTTGGAAGGAAGAGGGGCTTTTAATTTTGATTTTTTTTTTTAATGGAGGGTAGACATATTTTAAAAATACAAATGGAAATTGGGAATTTCTTTTAAATCACATGCACTCCCCCCCCCCCCCCCCCCCCAAGAACTAATAATGAAAGTGATTATCTTTGGAAAGATAAATTTGGTCATGTGCAATGGTTGATTTAACACCAGCGGGAAGGCACTGTAGGTATTATTTAAGCCCAAAGACTTTGGAATCAAAAGAGTCCTGATTTGACACCTATTTCATGACTTAGGGCATGTTGTTGCAAGGCTTAGTTTCCCCATCTGAGATAAGGTGATCGTGCTGTTCATCTTTCAGGCAGTTTCTGAAGTTTAAGATTTAGGAACCTGTGAGTACACTGTGTTCCGAAAGTTGCAGAGTGGAGAGGGGAAGCCACTTTGCAACCAGGAAGCATTTCTATGTAAGCATTAATGTTAAATTGTATAAAAGGATCCTAGAAGAAAGGGGTTGAATCTTTAAGGCTCCATGATTTCTTTTTTAAATTTTAAAGAAATGCATTTATGCTTAATTACTGTATTTTCTATTTTAAAGAGATTGTTCAAATTGTATAAGCTTCATGTCCCATGAAACATGGATCTAACCCTGCTTATAGGGTTAATGCAATAATTAAGTAAATGTTCAAAATGCTTAGTACATCCAACAAAATCAGCAATCAATAGGAACAGTTCACTGAGCACAAAATAGAAATGGCCCTTAGCTGAAAAATAGCTTAAACTCACAAACAGAAAAATGCAGATTAAAACTACATTGAGATACTTTCTATCATAAACTTGAAAGTTTGGCAATAGAAGTTGGTGAGACTTTCAGGAGATAGGCATTTTAATACTTGTTGGTAGTACTACAAAGTTAAATCTGTAGGGTGGAGGAATCTGCTGATATCTCTCAAAACTTGAGGTCCATTTACCCTTTGTCTCAGCAACCCAGTGGGGCCTTGGAGTCAGCTCATGGAAACCTTTTATGTACCTGTGTGCATCTCTTCCCAGTTCCATGTTTGATAACATCACATTGCTTGAGATTAGTCCTGGCGGAAGTATTCACACCATGGTAATCTGCAGACCCTACAGTCGGGGCCTTTTTTGAGGGAGAGTTGGTAGTTGAACATTTACTAGCACACCACTACAGCCACCTCATTGCTGGGAATTTATCCTCCAGTTACATCTGTTTATGTCTATAATGACGTAGTCATAGGTTACCTCCGGCATTATCATTTGTGATAGCAAAAGATTGGAAATAACTCAGGTGTCCTTGTTTAATATGTTATATGGTGTAGCTACACTGCGGAATACCCATCAAGTATAAAGGAGAATGCAAAGTACTCTATACACTGACATGAAAAACAAAATTGCCAGGCTCCTTGGTTAAGTGAGTTAAATAAGAGTAAACAACAGAGGGAGGCAATATGCTACTTTTTGTAAAATAATGGGGCTGGGAGAGGAGAAACAAGAATCTCACTCTATTCATTTGTATTTGTACAAAGACAGTAAAGGATGATTGTGTGGGAGTGAGATTGTTCGGTATAAACCTTTTATCACATTTTGAATTTTAAACCATATGCAAGTATGACCTAGTAAAATACATGAAAGGAAATGACTCAGTAAACTCAAACTGTCAATAAGTCAAAGCCATTTAAAAACCTTTAACATGAAAAACTTCCAACATAGTCCACAGTAGAAGGAAGGAGCTTCTTCCACTCAGCATCCGTCGTCATTATCAGCCTCCCACTGTGCTTCTACTTTGGTGGCTCTCGTCATTATCATCCATGTAGGATTTTGTCCTTGAGCTAAGTTAGTGCCATATATATATATATATATATATATATATATATATATATATATTGTCATCACTCTAGGGAGTGCCCCTTATCCCACAGGCTAGGGAGAGTTTGAAAAAATAAATGCTTCAACACAACAAGCATCAGCTGAAAAAAATTGGTGAGCAAGACTCTGAAACCACCCAGCTCAAGAGTAGTCCAGTTGTTAAGAGTACAGATTTTGGTATCAACTGGCTTGGTTGGAATACATTGCTCTGGGACCCAGGGCAAGTTACCAAGCCTTCAGACTCTGTTCTTTTAAAGGGGGATGAAAATATGATCCATCTCATCTTTTTCTGAAATTGAATGAGGCTCTTCATAACCAGGACCCTTAATAGTGGGTGGCACACAGTAGGCTTGCAGTGATGTCGGTGCAGCCCCACTGCAGCAGCAGCTGCTGCCATTACTGTCACTGGTGTTCCCATTAGGACCAGTGTTACTACAGCCAGCAGGATCACAGCTTCTCTAATGCACCTAGAGACATACAAACCTTGAGGTGCAGCTCTAAAAAAGGGAGTTTATGGGTTATTAAGAGGTATGGAATTTGGAAGTAAGTGTGCCATTAATCTTGCTCTAAACTGATAAGAAAGTACAACTAGTTTTCTCAGGTGATGAAATGGTCCTCTCTCACCAAGAGGGTCAAGGTTGGAGTGAATTGCCTTTGAAATGCAAAGGCAGGTCAACCCCTGCCTTATTCTGCTACTCTGTACCCTGCCAGTCACCTCATCCCATTATTCTTGTCAGATTAATGTTCTGAGCTCTTTCCCTTGGCCCTCTGGAACACGTTGTCCTTTTCTTTTTCTCAGCTGAGATCCCCTAAGGTAAGGTTTTCTGTTTTTCATTCTGTTTCAGGCCTTTGGGTTTTTTCCTCGCTGTGGGTGGTTGTGGTGCATGTGACCCAGTAGGACATTATGCTTGGGGGCCATTGATCAGAAGGACACTTACGAAAATCCCCCATGTCGGGGTGTTGTGAGGATTTAGTGAATCTGTGTGTAAGGGCTGTGACTTTTATGCGCCTGGAACCTAGTGAGGACTTTGTTTTCCAGCCATTCACAGTTTCCTTGGTCTCCTTTTGTACATGTGACTTCTTGGCTGAGTAATAACACGAACTGGAACTCTCCTTCCCCTGATGTATAGGGTGGTCTAGCACACCATTAAATAAATGTGTTTTCTTCATTTTTGGATCTAGAGCTTTCTAGAATTCGCATTTAATTTTTTCCATATTCTCTGACCTAAGCAAAGCATTGAATTTACCTAGAATTTAGAATTTCAACTTTTAAAGTTCCAACTGTAACAGGGCAATTAACTTTAAAAAGCTTTTTCTTGTCTCCTTGGATTGGTAGATGCTGCTGCTGTCCCTGATTTATAGGGGAATGACTTAACAAAAATTAGGATCAGGAGTCTTTGGATCGTTTGCTGGTATCTTTGGTGGATAAAATAGGGGACGTGGGTGGAAAGTGGAGATAGAGACTCAGCAGCAGCAGCCAAACTGACTCTCTGTGGTTGGTATCTATTATATGTGAACAAATAATATAATGCTTTAATCTGGATGGTCTTGCTCTTTCCCCTTTGTCTCTTTCCTCCTCTTTAGGCCCTATGTTTAAAATAAAAGTCAGGGGAGTTTCGTTTGCATATATTTCTTTGACTGTACCTTGAGAGTATTATGTACTTTGTTTTAAAGTAAGGGTAATTTTGCTACTTAAAGACATGAGTCACTCTACCAGGCGCACCGATTCCTTTTTCAGAACTTTGTCAGACAAAGTCAGATATAGGAACCTGAGGGAGACCATGAGGAACCCTTGCCTTCTTATGTACCTAAGGAGTGTGGTAAGGCTAATGTCTTTGGTTGTATTGACAACAGCATACATTCTGTGGGAGGGATATAGCATTCTCTTGACTATGGATGTAGAATTGGTAACTAATGTGTAGAGTGCTTCCTTTATGT